AAGTGTACCACAAAGATAACATTAGTGGTTGTCTAGAGATTATCAAGTGCTAACACTCAATATCAGTTTATTATTTAGGTAGATTTTTTGATGACGCAACAGTGAAAGAATGTTATAACAAATCTTTCAGTACTAAAAACACATTTGTTTTCAACAGTCTTCAGTTATTATTAGTAGGTGAACAATGTCTGCTAATACCAGTCAATGTGATGTGTGATGCACATCCTTCATCCAGAAATTGCAGGTCTAGTGAATCTCCACTGATGAGTTTGTTTCATTAGTGATAGTTGAATTCACAACTTCTTCCATATTACGGTACAGTATCATCCCTTACTCCACATTTCCATGTGACAAAAAGCTTGAAACAGTGAAACGAATACTTTCACACCAAATTAACAAGTGGAACTTGCTGAATAAAGTATACTCTTTGTTAATTGCTTGTTTACCAGCCAACGTTTGGTCGATCAAAGAGATGATTTGTGAGGCACTGTTGCTGCAGAAACACTCATTCAATACGGCATAGATATAGATAGCTGTCCTGTGTCCTGTGTATGACAAGACACAATTCTTGAATTTTACTGCTAGTCAAAGCTCTGAAAATTACGGCGTGCTGCAACGCAATAACCAAGTATCCCTTACAGGAGTTCATCTGTCACTTGTGATGGAAGAGAATATTCGCAGGTCAATTGGATGATCTTGGTTTTGTTGTGTTGTCCATCTGGGTGGGTTAGTAAAGAAGCTTACAGTGTCTTTCTAGACAACATCATCAAGACTAACATCAATATAAAGTGAGCTGCCAGTATTTCTCCATGAGTGATTCAGAAGCCTACTCTGACGATCTGGCTTGTGATTGGTTGCTCCCTCCAAATGTTGTGTCATTGAGTGCATGGGTTTTCCTGTTGGTTGTTTCTCTGCCTGACTTCTGAACATTTTGTCATTTATCATTTTTATTATTGGTTAGGATTAGCTTCTAGGAACTCTCTGATATTTTTTGTGTTTCCTGTGACTAAGATTTCCACATTGTCAAGAGTGAATTCATGTCTGTAATTATCCACATGTGTTTAAATGAGCCATGAAATGTCGTGACGTTTAATCTCCAATTGGTGTTCATGTAGACGAAGGCGAAGAGAGTGACCCCTTCATCGAATGTAATGTTGATCACAGTTATTGCAGTTGATTTTGTAAAGGATATTTAAATTGTCTTCCTTGGCTGTGCTTCTCTTAATTTGCACAATACGGTTTGAGGGTCAGTGAACCAAGCCAATTCATAAAATCAAGCAGCGGAAACAACCAGTTACAGACCACTTTGTCAGAGCAAGTAACTGAGTCACTCAAGATGTGATGTTGACAGCTTACTTCATAATGAGGTCAGTGCCAATGCTGTTTCCTAGAACGACGATGGAAGCATCTGGATTAAACCACCTAGCTCAGAGAATACAACATAACCAAGTTCATGTGTCACTAAAAGATGATCATAAGGTAGTAATTACTTGTAGCTGAAGGTATTGGTTTCAAAGGTGCTGCCTTCTTTGAGTTGCATGATTCACTTTTGAAGATTTTATTGTGATCTCAGGCATATTATTTCACACTAGGGAAATATTCTGTACTAAATACACTCCATCTCATTTACACAACGAATAAGGATTCATGACATTCCTGTAGTATTTTTAGTCCCTTTATAGGCAAGTTTAGGAATTATTAGCCAATAAACCTGTGTACTAGCTCTGCACAGCTTCATCAGAGCGTTTTTTGTACAAAATACATGTATATAATGTGGACCTTCAAGCAAGTGGAACATAGCTGTGAATTAGGTTCAGCATTCAATGGGACCATTGAATATTTTACTCATTTGTTGTTTGATCGAATAACCCTTCATGATATAAAATAACGGTTGAACACTACTCACTTTATATGACAGTGTTGTGTGTCCCTAGTGGCCAATAAAATAACGGATGAGTAATTCGATAACTAAGACTGTAGTAAGTATATTGATTCACTTCGGAATAAGTACTTTTATCAGTTTAGAAACTTATGAATCGGTTCAAATCTGTGCGTAAAGCATACTTTGAAATGAAAAGTGAAAAAACACCTATCTCATTTGTTCAGATGTATGTGTAATACTGTAGTTTATGAAGATCTCAGGATATCATGTTGACACTAGATGACTTACGTTTTCATCTTGCAAATGATTTTACTTAAAAAGCCAAAACCTTTTGTCTTTCTCCTTCTGGTATAACGGATTAAACAGGTCATAAATCTCCGGCTAGTTTGGGCTTCAACAGATTAGCAAACATACCAGTTTATTCTATACTTCTCAGCAGCATACATCTTCAGCATTTACAAAGATCATTACCATAACCGGTAGTCTTATGATGAACACAAAAGAGTTCATGGCTACTAAAAAGCAAACGGTTGATATCATAGTTCATATCACTAGTCAACATAATTACTGAGGTTTTATAAGTCTGAAGATTATAGTATATCAAACCAGTCGTTAAAATTTCAATCACTTTCAATAAAACAGTGTGTAAAGTCTTTAAGAGAGTGTCAATCACTGCTGTTATCGATTTATCACATAATACGTCAACCATCAAGAAAATCTTTGATAAGTTCCAAAAAGTATGTTGTGAAGGAAAAGTAATGGGTAGATAAAAGATTCTAGCAGGTGAACTTCAGCTTAGGAGGTTATATGACTAATGAAACACTTGTTTACCGCAATCAGCTACAACAACAACTACTACTACCTCACTTTGGATTCTACTGTTTAGAACTTTCGCTATCACAGTATACCACCTTGAACAAGTATTTCAGAGAGGAGTTAAAGTTATTTATGGGACCAGATTTAATAGTTTAACCTACATAAATAAGAAACACATAAAACTGGAATAAACAGATGAGAATATGCAAGGAGGTCAAAGACATTGTTTAGTCACGAAAACTTGAGAGAATGACAGCGAAAATAGCAGTGGATTAAGTGATTAAAACGATCGATTACTAATAACTGAATCCTGCAGCTTCATTTCTCGCCTATTTAACTCATAATCCACACCGAAATAACTTTCATATGGTTAGTTCTCTTTTATAAGTTTGAATAAAGTGAGAACAAGAATCTGAGCATAATAAGATAACGTCACTTCATTTCAGATGTTCTGTTCACCTAATTATAGTCTAGATAACAATTAGACGAAGGAAAACACTACGATTTTTCAGTGAGTTTCACTACCTGACTAACCTTGTGGTGAAGAAGCAATCATACGGGAAGATACTATTCCTAAGCACAAGAGTAGATGATTGACACTCAAAAGGTTCAATTATCGAAAGTCTGTGAAGAATGGACAGATGATAATCCTGCATGGCTGAGTTGCATTAGACTTAGAATAAATCCAATTCACTCCATTTCTTCTCACATTCGAGGGATTTGTATTTCTGACTCTTTAGAAGATGAGATTTAACTATGATACCCAGAAAGATCTGTGGATAAAAATTTGATTTCAGATAACATCAGTTGGTGACCTGTAAGTGTCAAGCTACTTTTGAATTTGAAATTCAACACATATGCAACAGATGAGTGCCGTCAAATGAACATCCTATACAGTCTCACTAGAAATCACCTGTATTAGCCACTGCATAATGAACACATGGGCAAACGAAAAACTTCCACTACTAGCCACTTTCATGAGTATATATCAATTCACCTGCTTCTGTGCAGCATAGTGCATAAGCTGTAAGCACAAATAGATTTTCTAACATCGATACCATTACCCTTAAGCATGGCGGGATAAAGGATAAATCGAATCAGTCAGTGGCTGCATACTGCAACACTACGTTGACAGCGGATAAATTTCATGGAGAATCATTTGCAGCAGTCTACAAAGTACAACATAATCTTCCAGAAGGGTGTCAAGAAGAAGAAAAATTAAAACTAGAATTATATGTATGTATATTCACTGTCCTTATTCACTTACTAGCATTCCAATTCTTAAGCCTAACTAACCTTTCTCGACCTTATTTATTGCTGGTACGAATGAAAGTGTGTTCGGTCAAATTACTAACGCTTCATTCAGGTGATGACAGAAGATGAGGTGAAAATCTGAACCGTGGTCGGATTCGAACCACTGACCACCAGGTGGTCACCAGGTGGCTCTCGGATGTACCGACCACTGTCCAGATTTTTGCCTCATGTTCAATCATCACCCAGTATTAATATTATTTTCCTGCTCCCAACATACTCAGAATTATTGACTGATGAACGTTGACATTTCCACCAATAACAGTGAACACTTATTATTCATTTGACTGAAATTGTACAACTTCTTAGAATGATATCACCAAAGGAAATTGTTTACTGAAGTTTTTATCTCCTTATGACTCATGCAAAAGTGGGACAGAGTTACATATTTTAAGTGAGTTCATAGGAAAAATGTTCAGTCGACAGAAAACATATCGAGATGATATTAGCACATCCAGTGAAGCTGGAAATAGAAGTGTGGAGGGTGAATAAAGAAAGGGTTAACTGTTCTCATAGCGTATTAGCTTGATTATTCTGGGAACATAATAGAGAGACGTAAAGCTGCTACAAACAGTAAAAGTTGGATCACTGCTTATATAAGCACCATGAAAAGAAAAGACACTAATAAGAAGGATGAAATGAAGTGAAATCAGAACGGAATTATAAAGAAGGAGAAGAGAGGGATAAGTTAGTGACCTTACGTAATCAAATATAACAACCAATCAAGGTAGTGGAAGACTTACAATCTAATCTCGTCCTGTATCTATTCATTTGGTTTGAGCTATTTGGTGGCAATTGCTTCTAATAAACTCAATGAATTCGACTTCACAAGCTTATTACTTGTTCCAAATCATCTCTAAATGTATATATCAAGTTCCTTGGTGAATGATAACATCATGAACTGATGAAATTCATTTTCGTTAAAAAAAGATTCCAAATATGATTATTTTTTGTTAACTGAAATCTTTCTTTTAAATACTTCCTTTCAAAGAATTTTTTGATGAACCATTTATAAATGATTGCGATCATACTAAATGTGGACCACATGCACATTGTGTAAAGAAAGTGGATGAAATGTCACTTGTGTTTGTAATCTTTTATTTGCTCCTATGGATCTTGATCCAGGTATTCCACTCGAGTGTCGATGTAAGTTATTTCTATCATTATTCTGATATTATTTTTACAGTATGCAGGTTAAAAATATTTTCATTTTGATTATTTGAGTGAGGCAGTCATAATTTGTCAAACTAGTATTGATACTAGGTGATGATGGAAGATGAAGTGAGAACTTGAACCACGACTGGATTCGAACCAGAGACCACCAGGTTTCTGGCCTGATACTCTACCAATTGACTACTGACCAGATTTTTATTTCAGACCTCGGACCTCCTAGCTCAGTTGGTAGAGCATCGGGTCAGGAACCCGGTCGTCGCTGGTTCGAATCCGGCTGTTGTCCATATTTTCATTTCACCTTCAGTCACCACCCAATATAAAAAGTAGTTTGTTTTGGAATCTTCTTAAGTAGGACTGTCATCCATTGAGGTGGTATTCCTTAGGATAGGAGACCGATCCTCTCCAACTATGTATCACGGCAATGTAATCTATCTGTGTCAATCGTTGGTGCGAAGTCGGTGGAGAGAATGTAAAATAGTGCCTCGCCTTATGTTGAACTTGGTGCTGACCAGAACAGTGATTGTTGGAACAAAATTGCAACAGATGATCACCGTTGTTGGTTCGTTGTCATGGGATTCTGTAGATACCTCTGAGATGCCTACCTGGTTGACTCCACTTTCCTTCTTCAGCGTTGGAGTCACCTGCTATTATGATTATATCTGAATGTTTTACTTTCTGTATCGGAATGAACAGGTTTTAATAGAATTCTTTTTTTGAGTCATCCAAACTGGAAACAGTGGCTAAGTATGTGCAGATTACGAACAGGTATCGGTTAGTCTCACGATTGTTCTTATTTTTACTATCCATCCAGTCGAACAACAAAGGTTGTTGACTGATATGCAGTTGAGTAGTGGACTTTCTGCACTGCAAGTCAATGCACTAAATCAATGCAATAGCGAGTCTACAAGATATTTTTAGGGTGAATTTTGAAGATTCACTGCAGTGGATAGGCGAGGATAATTTAATCGCCGCACTGGGATCCTGTATACTTGTCTGAAATACCGCGTACATTTATGACTCCAGATTCTAGGCTTTTGGCAAACGATGCCTTTCGTCCGAGTTCGGACGTTAAAAGCATCATTATGAAATCGGGAGCGTGTTTTAGGAGATTAGGAATAAGGTTTCGATGGCTTCGATCGTTGGCAATGGTGAGAGGTTGAGGAAGGTGTTCGAGGATTAATATTAATATCAGAAGATGACGGAAGAGAAGGATACAGTTGAGTAGGATAGGTTATGTTCGATTTAGTCTTGTATACTACTGAAGGCATGCGGTCAGTTGACAGTTCTTGGTTGTCTACGCCGTGGACTTTGTTTCTGCAGTGTACCGAAAAGAGAAAAGGGATAAGATTTTTGCATGTCGTATTTCGTTTCATTCTCAGGGATCGATTGTTTAGTAGATAACAACAACGAAACATAAAAGCCACGATCATGTAAGCTTAGCGTGAACATAAGCTTACCTAAAGAGTGGTCAGCGACATCAGCTCCTTTGGTGAACGCATTCAAGGAGAAACTAGATCTTTTCAGATGTACTGACCAACGAAGCCTAATAATCCTATTACTCGTTTCGCTCCACATTAGGAACACTTATAAACAGCTAACAAAGGGGACGGAAAATGCATACTGAACCACTTCTGCAGTAAGAAACGGGAGGCTGATAATCACTTTTCAACATTCCCCCTATATTATTACAGTAGTGGGTGAGAGCGACTGACATGGTCACTACCAATATAAGTAATAAGCGCGATGGGTAAGGTCAACAGCACCATCTGTTGTGACAATAAGAAGAAAGAAACTTTAACCATTGTGTTTTCTCAAAACAGTTTTGTCATCCAACCATATGAGCGAATTTTCATGCACGAACTTTCCTTTCTGAACTTGAAAAGAGCAAAAAACAACAACTTGATTAGCATAAAGTGGATCCTAAATATTGAGTTTAAAACAGCCAGATAGTATCACCAGCCCTTGCTTAGTAGGCGTGTACAGTTGATAAAAATGCGTCTAGTTGCTGAAATAGTTTTAAAATTTGTTGATTAGTTCACTCTGGTCGAAATGCAAATGGAACTAACAATAATTGACAATAGATTTAGGAGTATTCGAAAGACCAGTCAGGAATTAGGATTGAAATGCACTCACCAACCTTGCTCACATTCGTAAAGTAGACAGCAAACCACATATGTTGTATGAGGACTACTACCTGGTTGCCCAAACCTCATTAAGTGGAGCGGGTTTCGAGCCGTGACCCATTGATTGAAAGTCATTTGCCTAAACCAGTGACTTTCGGCTCTACAACAGATCAGCGATTGCAGTGGTCACCTTAGAATTATTATTTGTATTTGGGCTTGATACTACTTTAAATCTTACATAACCTATCTCAATTACATTATATCTGCTCACTCTGATCATTTTGACAAGTATTTCCTCCTTTAGAATCAGTGTTGGATTCGTGAGACTTTGAAGCACAAAGATTGAAATGTCTAACTAGCTCATAACACTATCAAGGAGAATATGAAGTGTTATTATGAATTATTAGGTAAGAATTTCATAATACCATCTAAATTGCTAGGTGTTCCACAGAACGTTGAACCTATTGATCTCAAGAAGGCCTACTACAAATTATCACTTCAATGGCATCCAGACAAGAATACAAAGGAGGACACAACGCTAATATTTCAAGAGATTCAGGAGGCATACAAGTAAAAAATTGATATGTAATAAAATTTCCTTCTTTTGCGTTATGTATGTGTTGTCTCTGGTTAGGAAAGAGAATCGCTTTATTTTTTTCAAAAATACTTGGAGATTATATCTAGTTTCTTTAATTTCCAGAAAGGCAGCTTGTTCAGCGTGAAACTGCTTGGATATCTGACATGGTTTCCCGTGGCTGTCGACAGGTGCAAAGCTAAGTCCAAAAAGGAAATAAGATAATCAGAAGAAATAATAGCTGGCAAAAGCGAAAAATCGTGCTGACCTTGATTAACCCGCTGAGTAACCTTAAATTGTTCATACTACTATCGACCCAATAAATACATAGCTTACGGTGTATCTTATTGCCAAAGTGGGAGAAACTCAAGTTTTATATGACAATTTTGCACTTATTATCGAGTTTGTAAGACTTTCTACACATCTTTTATTCCCCGAAGTTGAATAAATTGGGAGTAGAGGACTTATACTTTACCTTGCTTATCAGTGAGTTTTTCACTCGAATGCCGAATCGCAGCCTTAGTCGTTACTCACTAGACCCTGACACTCAGTTTTCACTGAACCAAAAGTCCCCTTTAGGTTATAAAACATCAGAAAACTAGGTAGTATTTCCTCAAACTGACTGTTCAATATCTTATAATTTAATTCTCGATGCGAGAAATTGCAACAGTGTGAGCCGGGCTTTCTAAATTCGATTTGCAGGCCCTGAAGGGTTTAAGATTAGCCTTAATTTTATGAATTCCAGCTGCTATTATCCAATGAATATAATGATTGTAGCTCCCTTGCTGTTGTTACCAATTGCATTTTTCGTCATCAAAATCTTAAGTTGCATTATTTTATGTACAAGTGAGAAGACGAGAATTTTTAATGTCTTTAGCCCCCCCCCAAAAGTAAGTAAATAACTCGCTTTTGATTGGTTGTTTCAAGGTCATTTAGCAAGTAACTTAAATTTGACACATTTTGTCATTTTTACTCTCCATATCTTTGCCAAATTTCGCTTTCTATAGAATTTCATTCTGAAAAATGAAAACGTTTTACTCATTAAAAACTAACCTTCATTTTTGTCGTTAATTCGAAGTTCATCTCAAAGTTTGGTATTGATCAGCATGGCTAGTTGATGAAAGCGATTACTGGATATGCATGATACACTTGGTGTTTTTTTCGACACATGTTTTAGGGTTCATCTTCCCCAGATGTTTCCTTCAGTGGTTTTATCTCATACAAATAAGATTGCTACTCTATCAGTTTCGGTACGACTGAATTTCTCTCTGGGGCTTTTATTAATCATATCTTAGTATTGTGGCGGAAGAGAACAATAACTTGTGTACTTCAAGGCTTAGGAACAGGTAGTCTCTTTATTTTACTGCATAAGTGTAACTTTAATTCAATTGTAACCAAACAGAAAAATAAATGCTAATCCAGACTATGAGGACTGATATCTATCAAAGCCGGTGATTGATTTTAATTTATGTTATTCCTTGTATGTTTTTTGTCAAAAACCACTTAGTATGGCGGTAATCTCCATGTATAATCACGAAAGTTTAGTGCTGGAAACTTGTACTTACAAAATTAAGTAGGAAGCATTCGTAGTTAAAATACACTGTTGATATCTCAGTCAACATTCCCACTGAGTCATGAGAAAAATTGCATTGCAAAATCTAGGCGTAAACAAGAGGCTTTCAACATTTCCCCGAGTTTTTGCACCGTGTTTTGTCGGCCCTATGATTTACTCCCAATTTACTCGCATGAATGTTGATTGGGTATATTTCGTTACGAAAAAAGCAGTAAGATATCAGGTATTTATTTCAAAAGTCGCCAGCTTTTATCAAGTTCAGCAAATCTGTCGTATAAACGAAAACAGCAAATGTTTAAGGTGTGTTTAAATGGGATAGGAAGTACTATCGTTAACCCTAATATATGTATATGTATATATATGTAGGCATCTCAGAAACACTACGTAGGATTTTAAATAAGGCTGGCTGGGATTAGAGTGGCATTTAAACCTACAAGGTCACTTGGAAATAAGCTTTGTAGGTTAAAAAAAATTGTATTGCTCCAATTAAACCGGATAACTTAGTTTACCAAATCCCTTGCAACTTCAAATACATAGGTCGAAGTAGTGTACCAGGGTCAATTAGGCCATCCCGAGCACAAAAGCCTAGGTGCGTCAAAATTGATAGATCCTAGTAAGGTAAGGAATTTAGAAAAAAGCCCTACCATAGCTATGAAATTACACGCAGCTACACACTAGGATGGGACAAGGTAAAAGTATTTAAAACTAACATCGCAGGGTGGAGGGAGAAGATTGATAAATGAATCTTTGTTTATCGAATCAATACCTAATACATGCAGCAGGAATGATTCAGCACCTATTCCGGATATGTGGAAAATCTTGCAACCCATATCAAAAAGTGGGTGAGGAAATTAGGACTGTATAAAGGATGTCTCAAAGTTGTGTAGTTATCTTGATATGACTATGAACAATAAATTATGTCCGAAGCGTAATCTGGCTTAAAATCTACTTTAAACATACCCTTTTAACTTGAATTGACATCTTCAGGGTTTTATCCGATCCACACGAACGGGCCTGGTATGATCAACATAGATCTCAGATTTTACAAGGAGATGGTCGTGGTACTCAAATGGGTGGGACATCCAATTATCAGGAGAATCGAGTTGATGTTTTCCAGTACTTTACACGATCTTGTTTTGAAAAATTCGATGATGGTCCGAAGGTAAGAATAAGTACTTATCATTGAAATAACTACTACCATTGCCTTTATTGTTTTCTTGATTCTGCTCAGTTGAGATTGTTTTCACTTGGGATTTTTGTGGGGAATAGACTGATTCCAAAACATTTTTTAATCGCGGATCGATGTGGAAATCAGGGAGTGTTAGATGGTTGTTTCTTTCTAGTTTGTAAATCTTCAGCGGTGCGTAACTAAGATCTTAAATGAGATTGAATGCACGACCTCTCAGCTGAACATGGATTAAGGGCATATTCGTGACTTTCTTGTATTTCGATTTCTTGAAGTTCTAATGAAATGCCTTGATTTTTGGAAGACAACGAATGTAGGTGTCAGGACAGATAATCAGCGATATCATTCAATGATTTTTGCGCTGTATCGTGAATTGTCAGATATCAAATAGCATGCACCATCGAATTTCAGCTTAAAGGTCAGATATTAAGGTACCTGGTGCAATATCCAGAGTTCAACCCTGTATAGGTACCTAAAGCTGTCGACCTTCAGGAGTTCACCAAAACAACTGTCCGCTATGTCTTGGTTTTCGTTGGTTATCTAGTCGATTTTGATCCATGCTTTAAGCTACTTTTCAATTATTTTGTTGTATCTTTTTTTTATCCATAATGATCACTGACTCTTAAATACCGTCTGCCGAGTAGTATTTCGTGGATTTTGACAAGCATTTTTTGGAGATGTATTTGTCGGACACTATAAGGAACGAAGTAAATTTGAACTATTAGCCATCTGAATGAGTATGTACTGAACTGGAAGTCTGTGAGCTAGCGATATCACCTATCTTCCAATTTCCCCAAAGCTCAACGTTAAGTGACGTAATGTTAAGTTAGGAAAATACTCAGGGTCAGACAAGATCAACACAGAACCAGCCATTACTGCATAACGGTCTAAGTTGCAACACATCATATCAGCACATCAAACCAGAATGCTGTAAAACATGAAAGATAAGGAAATGAAGAGGAAAGCAATCAATATCGGTAGAAAGTTATCAAAACAGAGCAAAGACGAATGGGAAAATACTGAATTCAATATGAGGATTAAGATGAAGATGATTTGTGGTGGATCCATCTGTTCCACTGAAATCGACTCCGAGCCATGTCACATACAGTCTCTAACTACTGATTTTTCTTGTAATACGGGCCCCAATCGGAAAGTCTACATTTTCCTACACAGTTCAAATCATCAGTCAAAGACTTCAATGACTGATACCATGTTTTAGTGTGGTCACTCCTAACCTTTACCCATCCCGGATCTACGTCAGGTAACAATGAGTGACGAGGCAGACCGTGACTAAGCCCGTGTAATACGTAATCCAGTCACCTGAGTCGATTAAGGTTCACAACTTTACTATCTGACTTACCACAGCTGCCCAAGACTACGCTTGACTTCTGCGTTACTGACGTGGTGGCATCATGAAAAACAGTCTGTGCTACGGATGTAGTGGTGGTTGAACACGTAAAGTGTCCTCATGTCTTATGCCTTTAATGATCATTACCCTTAATAGACCACCGGATGTCGTGAAAGTCAAGCTACGTTTTGTACCTGTATCAAGACTTCGTCGGATATATACCAGGGCTAATCCGACTTCCCAGGCAAGTGAAGTGGTTAACGCGTTCAACCAATTGAGACCCCATTGCTAGACGAGGTGCCAACGCAGACCAGTCTTGGAGCAACAATTTGCATTTATTTGACGAGAAACGTATTCCGGGCATTATCAGATTGCCGCTCAGGTGTCCAGAAGACTCTAAACCTTGTCAGTATCTCGTAACAGGACGATGTCATCTCCACACTCTAGATCTACCAAGGGTTCTCTTCTGATTGAGAGTCTTCGTAATGATTCCTTATAGTGGTGAGTGGGGAAGGCGGGAGAGATGGAAAAGGTGTCAGCATTAGGTAATTCCCAACAACATTTTTAGCTTATTAACGATACTGGCGTGAAGAAGATGATTGTTAAGGATCCCTTCACCTAAAAGGATGTACCCCTGATAACTTCTCGAGAACGGTGGTTAATCCACTGATCAGAACACTTTGAAGCCCAGTTCAGCTGAGCTATAGAATCGTCTGAGATACCCAGCATCCATGGCGGACCTTAGTGAGACGTTGTTAATGGTCTCCCGACTGTTCTTGAAGTTCCTAACCCGAAACTATGCAAAACACCAGGGCCTGAAGGTTTGCCTACCAAAGTTTTTACGGCAGAAGGTTGTAAATTACTATGGACAGTAGCAGAGGTACTGCGTAGTGTGTGGAAATCAAAGGCTGACACGTTAGACTACCCCAGTTCATTGATCTGTATAAAAGGAAGAGAAATATTCTTGTGACAGTCACAGGCGAATTAGTTTAACTAAATACCCTGTCTAAGATCCTAGTGTCCATACTTATCCGACGCCTAACTTCAGCGTGATAACAACAAACTAGAGAGAACCAGACTGGTTTCAGACCTGGACGTAGGTACATCGATAAGACTTCTACCCTCTAACAGATTTTGAAGCACAGACATATCGGCGACTGACGCTTACCAAATTTCCTGACCTGAAGGGGGCATTCGACTCTGTTGACCGTGAGGTGATGTTGCACTGTTTGACTATGAAAGAAGTACTAAAGAAGTATATGTTGTTTAACGAAGCTCTCTGTTCGAACTCATGAAGCCATGTAAAGGTTTATGGAGATTTATCATCAGAATTGACGACAACTAGTGGGGTCTACCAGGGATGGCCGTTATCACAGTCCCAGTTTAATTTCGTTATAGACGTACTAATGGACATAACCTTAGATACGTCTCACTACACAGGTATCGACCTACTCCCTGAAGGTCACCTGTTTGACTCAAAGTACGCATACGACATTAGCCTGGTATGTAGAAACTGACAAAATTCAGGGTCTTCTGAACACGTTGAGTAGAAATCTGATTATGTTTGGCATTTGTTTCGCATCTTTCAGATGTAAGATGATGCTTCAGGACTGGTCTGTAACCACTCCCAGTTTTCTGATATGGAGTATATTGATGGAATGCGCCAGCCACCTTACTTATTTTTGGGTAGTTGCGTCAGCTCAAACGGGCTACTTGCTGAAATCTCAGCTAGGATACAAAAGGCTCGTTTGGCATTTGCCAACTTGCGTCATCTGTGGCATCGACTGGCAAGATATCTAACTGCCTGTTAAAGAATGAGTATAATGTGCTGCAGTTCGTTCTGTCATACTATGTGATTGTGAGACATGACTGTTGAAAGTAGAAGACATGAAACGGTTACAGGGTTTTGATCACAGTTGTCTTCGTAACATTGCTCACATATAGTTGAATCACTATATGAGCAATGGTGCGGTTAGACAAAGTGTACCAGGCAAAGGAGGATAGTCAGTCGATGAGGTTTTGAACCTAAGTCGACTGAGCTTGGATATATACTGTGTATGCCGATCCACCTGGTTAACTAGTTCGCTAGTTACTAGCCAGTCCTAAGCCTGGGTAGAGAGGGAAGGTTGGACATAAGGCTACCAACCCTACCCCGGAAAACAAATCTAATCGCTAAGGAAACTTCACAAAACAAAGTATAAAAAGTAAAAACAAAATCATTCCTCACTGGAATCGGAGAGGTGAAATGACGCCGGTTCATGAAAGCCTTCGGGAAGCCAATTGGCCGATTTGTCTCCACTTCTCTCCATGAAAGCGAAAGTAAACGTGGGGACACAGAATGTCCGCACGATGTTTGAACCAAGCAAGGCAGCCCTGATTGCAAACCCAAGCAAAATATTAAGCCGCATCATCCTGGAGATACTAAAGGATGCACTGGATTCAAAACTACCACCGGAACAGGCTGGCTGGCTGGATTCAGGAAGTACAAATCATGTGCCGACCAAATTGCAACCCTACTCTACGCATCATCATAGAACAGAGTATAGAATGGCAGTCAACTCAACTCTACCTCAACTTCATCGACTTTGAGAAGGCCTTTGACAGCGTCGACCGAGAAGTAATTTGGAAACTGCTTCAATACTACGGAATACCACAAACCTTTATCCGCCTCATTCAACAACTGTATGAAGAGGCTACATGCCAGCCAAGTAATTCACAATGGACAGCTCAGTGATGATTTTGAAGTGAAGACAGGAGTGAAACAAGGCTGTCCAGTATCACACATGATATTCGTGATTGTGGTCGACTGGATCATGCAACAAACAGTGGGGAACGAGAAAAGGGGGATACGCTAGACTGCGGAAAAGAACCTCGAAGACTTAGATTTCGCTGATGACTTGTGTCTAATGTCTCAAAAACTTGAAGATCTACAGGCAAACACTAACAAGTTGACAGAAGAGGCTAGGCAGTGAAGACGGGACTTCAAGTGAATATAGAGAAGACAGAGGTAGAGGTGATGAAGATACCCAACCAACAACACCAACACCACCACCAACAACAGAAAGCTCCAATCACTATCAACGGGAGAAACTTAAAGGAAGTAGCCTCCTTCACCTATCTAGGCAGCAGTGTTTCAACTACAGGTGCCACAGGCACAGACGGGGATGTCAAAGCCAGCCAGGATCGGAAAGACAGCAAGACAGGTATTCATTAACCTGAAACCAGTGTGGAGATCTTCTGCACTCCACTCAGCATAAAGCGTGAACAAGATCCGGATTTTCAGCACCAATTCAGTCAAATCAATGCTTCTGTATGGTTGAGAGACTTGGCGCGTTACGAAAGGCATTTCCAACAAACTACAGACACTCATCAACAACTGTCTACGCTAGCTCTTTACTGAAACTCAGATGGATTACCAGAAAGAATAAGCAACAAGGAACTCACTGTGGCAACGAACCAACCAAGAACCCGTCACTCAAAAAGATATGCACTGGAAGGAAGTGGAGATGGATTGGACATACACTGAGAAGGCGGACTGGGGACATTACGAGCCAGACCAGGCATTCAAGTGGAACCTAAATGGGAAACGATGAGTTGGGCGTCGGTGGTGAGGGTGACATGGAGGAGATCGCGCGAGGAGGAAATAAGAGCTTGTGGGCTGTCGGGGAGCCAGGTTCAAAAGATTACAGAGAACAGAGCGCATTGGAGACGTGCTACTGAAGCCCTATTTTTCATTAGGAACCCAAGGGACAAATAATAATAATAATAATAATAATAATAATAATAATAATAATAATAATAATAATGCTGATCCACTGCCTACGTCAACGTATCGTGCTAGGGAAACTTGGATTACGTTGGGAGAGGGTTCAGGGTGTCCATACTAAGACGTAAAACCAGTTCATGAAATTCTTGACTGTTGGTATGAATCGTGTAGAGAGGTGCAAACTACTTTTCTGTGGTCTTTGAGACGATAAGAATCAGTGGTTGAGGGTTCCTGGTGATATGGCTGATAATAGGTTACAATGAGGCTGGTGTATTCAGGCTTTGAAGTATTTTGAAGCTTGGATATTTACGCTGACCTCTTTCATCAAATTATTGATTCTCTCACACAGCTTTATCCACTTTGTTATCACTCTTCTCCTATCCATTAGTTTATCATACTGTAACTACCTGATCGTTAGGAGCAGTTGCTATTTACCGAAGACCAATTGTTGCCAGTGAGAATCGATTGGAAATTGATGTATAGGCTGTGTTATCTGTACTATTATTATCGTTTACAATGAAAATTCTAACGTATGGCTAATTCGACTAAACTGAATTTTAAAACAGTTGCTTGGGAAGTATATATTAGTTTACGTAATGACTGAAAACAGTATCGACGTAGCCTTTGGATTATGTTCCATTCAATAGTACCTTTTACTGTCCTTTTCTGGCTTTTATATTTACTGTTATTTGTACTGGCTCATCTTGAGCTGACATCGTCTATTCATTCTTGAATTTGTCTATCAAAAGAGCATTTTTTGCAGATTATCACGAGTTATCAGTTGAACTAAGTTTAATCTGCCTGAGTGGTCTTGCTTCCATCCTACAAAACATTCAGTGTTTTATTTCCAAGGCGTATTAGAATCTAACCCATTAGTTTCCTTGGATGTACCTGATTTTTATGACTTCTTCCTGTGATTGTCGCAGTATAGGATGTAATTCTCCGTTAAATGAACATAAACTGTGTGTTTTGTTCCGTATTTTCTTACATGAAATAAGTTTTTAATGACGTAGAAACCAGTATTACATATTTGGATTATTGTAGGACGATGATAGATTAGTTATCGGAATGTGAACAGAATTTTCATTCAGTCAAGAAAACTGTGTTAAGTTTGCTGATTGATAAAGGCAGGAATCTTTGTAGTAAAATAAAATTCTCACATGTTGCAGGTTTTACTTACTGATGAGTGACTGAAAGTAGGAGCTGTGGTTCATTAGTCTAGAGAGTTGGGCGCGAGTTCGAGCCCTGCCTCCCCACACCTATCGAGATATGGGCCCCCACATAACAGGTGTTACTCTTTACTTGCTGTACGAATGAGCATGGGTTTGGTGAGTGGATTTCCATTCGAGGGAGTATTGTCTCAGAACTTACCACTTTTTTTCTGAGTCTGTTTTATTTCAGACTTTTCTAAACGGTAACGTTAGCTGTTGGTCGTTCTATGCAGCGAATCGACAGAAGTAGGAGATAGTGGGCCAGTGGATTACAACTTCGTGGCTGGATGGTAACCTGCTCGTCGTGTAAACGTCAATTATCGGTATTTCACTGTCGTGCTGTTTGCTGACGTGCTAAATTTATACTACTTATTAATTCATAGTAGTTGTTAGACTAATACCATCATTGTTTATTTTAGGGTTTTTATACTGTCTATAGAAAAGTGTTTGCAGAAATTACTAAGGAAGAAAAAGATGCAACCGCCTTTTCAGGATATACTACTTCGTCCAGTGAAAGTGATATTGATGACAATTATGATGGTGATGATAACAGCATGGGTAATTGTAAAAGTGGTAGTGGACGTAGATCACGCAATTATCCGCCTTTTGGTTCTTCATCAAGTTCGTATACGGAGATTGTTGCTCCATTCTACCTGTTTTGGGAAACATTTGAAACGAAGAAAACGTACACCTGGGTTGAAAAGTATGATACAAGATGTGCAGATTCACGTCAAGTAAGTGTTAATGAACGTCAGAACTACTGTATTTTATTCACATTTACTATATTGATCTCGGTGACTAGTACGGGAATCCAAGAAGCGCATTCTGTCCTGTTTGGGACTCGTTAGCTGGATGTACTTGCACCCTAATGAGTGATGTCGTTCCCACTGAGGCTCTTACCCTTCGCTTCAAACGCCAGGGCGTTATCCACTAAGCCGCCTCTTGTGCAACGAGTATCAGTTGTTATAATGATACTTGTAGCTTCTCGTTGCTATATATTATGAATATTCAACAATATCGAGGCATCCGCATAGGAGCCCATCTGCCAGCGGAAGTCGAACAATTTGGCCCTGTATAGTAACGGGAGATTACAAGTATCATTGCATCACATTTACTACACTTCACAAACAATCTGTTACTAGCCCTGATTGAGACTAGTTATATTTCTGTATAGCAGACCTCTACCATTATATCCTTTCTGAAGAGGATATCTTAAGAATGTCATGGAAGACCATACATGTAATATTATTTCTCAGTAACTTGGAGAATAGTCAAAATTCAACTGCATTCATAATCTGAATAAGTTTTAGCGTGCTCCTCAGTCTGACTATATATATATATATATATATATATATATATATATATATATATATATATATATATATATATATATATATATAATATATATATATATATATAAATATATATATATATATATATATATATATATATAATGTTATACATATAATCCGACACCTAAGATATGGTGGCGATATGTGGATGCCCCTTTTTACAGTGTTGAAATCGAAACATATCGACAATTTCTTGACAAACATAAACTCAGTAGTTAACGCAATCCAATTCACTTACGAAGTACAAAATGAACGAGAATTACCTATGTTGGATTGCAGAATAAAACGAAGGACAGATGTTGGTTTAGATACTACCGTCTACAGAAAACCAACACATTCTAACAGCTATCTCATCTCATCTCATCCAGTGTCAGTTAAAGCGGGTCTAGTCAAATGTCTAAATAACAGAGCTGAGAAACTCACTAGTCATTGTAAGGACTTAAATCAGGAATTGAAACACATAAAAGAAGCGTTAATAATTAATAATTATCCCCATCATTTTATTAAGAAGTTCACACAAACACATTAGAAGCAAAATAATAACAGTAATACAAATACAAATAAGTAGAAAGGAAATCAACACCTCTATTGTGATACCATACAAAGAAGGAACATCAGAAACCATATTTAGGATTCTCAACAAAGTTGGAATTAGGGTGGCATTGAAACCAACAAACTCACTTAGAGGCAAGCTTTGTCGGCTAAAAGATCCGATAGAACCAATTAGGCAAAATAATATAATCTACCAAATTCCATGTAATGACTGTGAGGTCAAATACATAGGTCAAACTAGCCGTTCGGGGTCAGTTAGATTAACAGAACATAGGAATTTAGCTAAACATAGAACGACAGACCCCAATAAGATCAATAACCTAGAAAAACACTCAGCCATTGCATTACATTCATTATCGCACAATCACACAATAGGGTGGGACAAAACCACTGTACTCAAGTCTAATATAGCTAGGTGGAGAAGGAGATTAATTACTGAATCTTTGTTCATCGAATCCACACCCAACACCTGTAATAGGAATGACGCAACACCTATACCAGAGATATGGAAAACTTTACTACCAATCAAAAAACAAAAACAAAGAAAAATCAGGTGACAGGACTATAAAATCAGATATCGAAAGAAGTGTGATTACACTGATATGATTATGAGCAATAATTTATGCTTGAAACGTAATCAAGTAAATAATACTGTATCACTGTGCGCTATGCATCAAATAAACAAATCTAATATGGAATTAAGTCTATCATGGTTAACCATCTGAGCCAGTGGTTGAAAACTCAACGTTAGTTCAAGAGAAAATATGTACAGTCTTTGAAGTAACTGAAACGGATAAAACTATGCGTGAAGAGCAGAAACTAGTGTGCTGAAACAGGTTAGTCATAACGAATGTTTATTAAACCATACGACCATGAAGCAACAAAATGTTAGGAGTATCAATTGTACTACTTGTTGATAATAAGTAACATAAAAATGAAGTGTAAAAAGAGTATGAAAGTAAAAATGTAACTACAAAAGCATGGATAGACCTAGTACCTTACTGTTCTGTCGTATGATCTAACCGGACAGTGGCTTATAATCTTAGGTCATTGTTTCAATAGAAACATCACTTAAATGTTTGCACATCAAAAAGAAGGTTAGATATATGATTTCTTCCTTCTTGTGCTCTGAATTGATGTACAACACTTGATAACTCTGAACTAAAGGTTTTTCTTATTTGGATTAATGAATATTGGACGTGGCATCACTGCATAACGGTCCATGCTGTCACACACACATAATCAGCAGCACATCAGGCAACAAATCACTAAGGTGAAAGATAAAGAAACTGACAAGAATACATCGAAAGCAGTAAAAGAGAAGGAAGAAGAATAAGAAGATGCTGAATTCAAATTCACAATTCAGATAACGATGATGTGTGGTGAAACCATCTGTTCCACTAAAATTCATTCCCATCCATATCATCCAAAGTCTCTAACAACTGATTTCTTTTGTAACACGGACTCCAATCGGAAAGTCTACATTTCTCCACACACCTCAGATCATCAGTAAATGACTTTAACGACTGATGGCATGTTTTAGTCTGATCACCTCTAACCTTCTCCCATCCTCCCATCCTCAACCTACTTCAGGTAACAATGAGAGACGAATCAGAGAGTGACTAGGCTTGTGTAACACATATCACAACTACCAGAGTCGGTGAACGTCCAAAAACACATCAACTGACTTTCGTCTCCTCCCTACATCTCTACACCTGACTTGTGTTGTATCACTAACGCGGCGAAACCACAACATACGGACTATGTTACAAAGCAAACTTCTCATATCCTCCACCTTTGACAGACACATTTAACAACCACACAGTAGAACAAAACGAAGTGTAGCACAACACACTCAACCCTTCATAGACAATCGGATATCACAGTCTCACCATGTATGGTGTAAGTTGGCGAAACTCAATTGAACCCCTCCCATCCATGCACAGATTTCGTCGGTCATTAACCCATCACGGTAACAGGGGTGATCAACGCACTCAACCACTTCACTTCCTACTGTCAGAAAAGACACAGCTGAAGACTTGTGGTGCAGTAGTAATTTGCATTTGTATGGCGAGAAACGCATCCCATACATTCTCAAGTTAACACTTTACGTGTCCAGAATACTCCACGTCTTGTCAGAGTCTTCACCTAAGACAAGCATATCATATCATCCGCGTACCCTAGATCAACCAAGGATTCTTGTGTGATAAGATGAACCCTGTGAATTCAGATTGCTTATAATTTTTGTCAGTCTACATTTGAGTTGTTTGTGAACTTCATTTTGCTCGTAGCGTGTGCAAATGCATTCGCGTGCATTCACGTGAGATCCATCGCTCCTTTTTAACTAATTTTTAAGATTCAGCCGCGGTCTTCAACACTTTTCACGGACTGGAAGGTACAGTCAGGTTTATTCTGGATTAGAGACGCTGTTTTGCTCGGATAACCGTCTGACTCCAAGCAGCCTAATTGCTGTCGTTATGAAGTTACGGTTGCTATGGTTTTGTTGCTATAGTTTTGACACAGACATCCACGTGCTGGAAACAATGTGGGATCGCTGTCCGAACACTTGCTCCAAAAGGCGTGGCCGCTCTCCACTGTCTCACTCCATCAGTGACTGATAACAATGCGGCCCATCTCTGCCCACTGATGGATGGATACCACGTCAGACATTATCTTTCTTGATGTCTGAAGTTCATACTACCCAGAAATAATGTTTTTCTGAGCAAATTGTAACAGATGATAACTGTTGTCTGTTTGTTCGTTCACCTGGGCTTCCAAAAACATCCACCCAAGCCCACTTCCCGCTTGTACATTAAATCACCTGCAACAACAGACACGGCTGAACGTTTGACTTGCAGTAGGAGGTCAGACAGCTTCCAGTAGAATTCATCATCCACTTCTTCTGAACTGGAGTGAGTGTGTGCATAAGCACATCTTACAAAGAAACAACAGTGAATTTCACTACTCCTTTAAGTCTTCACTGTACCGTTCAGTCGAACAGCGCTTAAGCGACTGTCAACTGGGATGCATCTGTTTGAGCAGGGCACCTTATGGCCTAGCACATATTGCTCCTCCTACGTGGCTGCAAGCTTGTGAGGAATACTGTTCGGATCTCCAGGAATTCCAACGATAAATCCTGCGGATCCAGCATATTGACTGGGTGAGGTTGAGTGAATAACCGCACTTGGTTCCTGTACGTGCATCTTACAAATACATCATATGTCTGTGTCCCGCGATGCTAGGATTTCGGTTAGCGAAGCATGATTGCCGATTTAATCGAAAGTGCGGAGATTAAAAGTTCCCATGTGTAGTTTCGAGCGCGGTAATGTTGTTCCGTGAATTCAAATCGTTGTCAAAATCTGCAGGGCTAGAATAAACTGAGGATAATGTTAGAATGTTGACCAAGAGACGTGAAGGAAGATTAAGAGTTGAGGATCCAGGTGGTTGATAACGATTGGATAGTATTTGAGTGCTGAAAGAGTCGTGGAGATGGTTGACACTTCTTGGCTACCCACACCATGGAAAACAATTTCTCCTTGAAGTACCTGAAAAAGAAGGGTTAGTGCGTAACCGCAGAGCCCAAGGAATATTTGCTTGAAACCGGTCACACACGGCCTTGTTAGAAGTTTAAGATTTAGGCTTGTTTTTTCCTACTTCGACACTGGTATGCCTAAGGGGAAGATAATTACGAGCTTACCTCTTAGTTATTGGTTATGCTATCAGACAGTGAATATTCAACAATTGTTTTGGTGATGTATCTTTCATATATTATTTGAGAAAGACATATAAAGGAAATCTCCATTCATATGTACTATTTGTCGTAACTTTTCGTGAGTATGCTTTTCACACATCGTTTTGTAGGAACGTCGTGCTATGGAAGCCGAAAATAGCCGGTTACGAATGGCTGCTATACGTAAACGGAATGAAGAAGTGCACCAATTAGTGGCATATGTAAAAAAAAGAGACAAACGCGTAATTGCCGAGAAAGAACGTATTCAACGTGCAGCTGAAGAGGCTCAAGCACGCACTCAATCATTATCTGTTAAAGCTAGGGAACGGTAAGTGGAATTAGTAAATATTGTATACATTTTGTGGAAGATACCTCGTTTCTGCTACTTCATGACCTTTATAATACCTTAGCAAAATATGTGTATGTGTAATTTGAATAGTGTCCGATATCTGTATGTGCTTTTGTATAGCGTCATCATCACAGTAATTTGATTTACTCTCTTGTAGTGGATAGAGTTGGTGAAATGTTGATTTTATCGATTTAGTAGTGACACAGAAGATTGATGGAACAAATTCAGTGGAAGTGTATGTTGACCGATCGGTTTAGAAGCTTCTGTGGTTAGACTCATTAGTAGTAAGGGAAATTTCTGTCAGATTTTCATTTTGACTATCTGGGGTAGCCGTGGTTTGGTAGACTGGTATTGTTGATTGAAGGTGAGATGAAAATTTGGACTGCGGCAGGATTCGAACCAGCGACTACCGTGTTTTGGCCCGATGCTCTACGCAGTATCAGTACTAGTCTGCGAAACCACGTATGCTATCTCAGATAGTCAAAATGATAATGAGCATGATGCCTCCCCTCTTCAATTTAGTTAGATTTGGATTGGGATGAGAAGTCCTGACTGACTAGACAGCCAGTATGAATGTGATCAGGCGATAGTAACGCGTCACGAATTCATATGGTAGTGGAGCCAAACCCTTGGTGATTGAAATGAAATAAAAATCTGAGTCAGATTTGTTTACACTCTGATATGATTCAGGAGGGTAGTATTCTTCTAAATAAAAAAGCGAACTCCGCTGTTGCGCAGGTCAGTGGTATTGGACCTGAACTGCAAACGTGAGGTCTATTCAGTAACACCGCATACAGGACGTTACGTCGCTCCCCTTCAGAAAAACAGTCTTTACTTCAACCTTGAGAGTAATGATCTGAAGGTGTCTATTTTCTAACAATTTAAATTGTTAACGTCTTCTCTTATGAGTATGGCCTATAAATCACTTGTTCTATGTTCTACTCAAAAGTCTTTTAGAAGGCTATCGTACATGATTTCGAAGTAGTAACAGCGATTACATGAGAATCAGTTTCATATTTGGAAATTTCATCAACTTTTAAAATACTTTCATTTGAGGTTCTCTATAGAGTGACAAGAAATTCAAAGGTTACTAATTTTCGTGTTTTTTATATTACTAAAGTTCTAGTCAGTTATGCAACAAATTCTAGCTTATAAGCATGTAAGAGATTTCGTCAACCACTTTATACAGTTATAACTTGTTGTTGAAATGCATGTAATTCTCCGTTGTTTTTCTGGATCGAATTATTCGACCTGTTTTGATATATTGACTCCTATGCGAATGCCTTGATATCGTCTGAATATTTTTTATGGTAATTTACTTAGTTGTCGCTAGCAGAAGAATCTAGGAGTGCAGGTATATCCCGCTGATGAGTCTCAAGTAGGATGAAACGTGCGTCCTGGATTCTTCTGCTAGCCAAAACGAAGTAAATCACTGTATACAGTCTTTCAATTCCCACTTTTCAAAATAATTCACTTCTGAGGTGTTACATATTCAATTATGCTTTCTATATTATTTTCAGTCGTATTTCATTCTTCAGGTATTATGTCATAAAATACGTCGCTTTATACAAAGTTAAAAAACTTCGTGATATTTTTCACCTCTGTCGACTAGTTATATCTTGTGTTGTGTTGTTATCCTGCTCAAGGTGGTCTATGATAACTGTGAGAACCTTTGAGTCGGTTTATTAGAATTGTCATATATTGATACACTATTACACTTCTAATCAACAGACTAAAATGGAAAAACAATCTACCAAAGTGCTCAAGTTCTTATCCTCTATAGATACAACTACTTGTTGTACAGGTGGACTAAAGTAATTAGCGAAGAGTATTCTGATTGTTTCAATTCTCGTTTGTTTTTTATATCTTAGTGGCTGTTTTTCGTGTTTCGAGAAGTATTTTATTGATTTCAGGTTGCTGTTCATCTGGACTAACATCAATTGAGGAGACATTGGGAACCTGGGAGCACTGGACAACTGTTTCTTCCTAGTATGGGACTACTCAACAGTGTGCATTCATAACCTTACCTCTCCCAGGGATTAGACTTTGGACCTCCAGGTTCCGATGCCAGCACGTTACTATTGAGCAGCTGGGTTGCAATCCAGTCGTCCATATTTCTTACTTATGTCAGTTCACGATATAGTGCAACCTCCATCCAATGTTGTTATTGAGTATCTGTCTTCATGCTCGACTTGGTTGGCCCCACCGGTCATGACTTAGTCATGTGCGCACACCACTGAGAAGTCCCAAATAGGACGAAACAGGCGTCCAGTACTCCTAGATATCCAGTGTTTCTCCAACGGATTTCAACCCACAATGAATAATACCAACCTGAACTATTTTGATATTGTTTAATTGTTTCAGGTGTGTGTGAAAAGACTTAACAATAACTATATTGCGAATACCAGGAGTTAACTTAAGATATAATTCATAGTGATTCATGAACAGCCTGGTTTTTCATACATGTTGGCAATTATTGACAAGGCTTATGTGAAACTTTGAAAATTTTATTTTTTCAAATGGGGTTATAAGTGATATTGATTAGCATCAAGTTTAGAGACCTTATTGACCATCTAATTTGGCTTTGGGTCGATTTTATTTCCCAAGGAAAAACGTCTCCTATCGAAATTATGGATCCACATTGCTGACAAGTTTCTGTCTCCAAAAGCCCTTAAACTTAGAGTCATCATTCTTTTGTCGATAGTAGTAAAACTGTTTTTACGTTCTGTATAGTATACACTCTTCAGCACTCTTGAAGGTGTTTTTTAATCATTTCGGTAGCTTTTGAGGATGTCAGTTAGTGATGGAAATCATCTTTGAAGTTTTTATATTCAAGTTAGCAGTTTTAATATTCATAGAAGGGGAGGTATCGACGCTGTAGAATTCTGCTTAAAGTGTATTGTGTGTATGTATGCGCAGAATGACAACCATCTTGTAATGCATCTAAATGAATACGAGACGATCGTGGTGCTTACTAATCGATGCTTGTGTTGTAACAATATCAAGTTTCCAAAATGTTAGTAAAGCTAAACACTTATATTCATTCATAAAACTAAGATAAAATAATTATGATCTTCATTTCGGTGGTTTTTAGAGAATCGACTACTTTCGAGTAGGTTCTCATCACTAATTTACATCAACCAGGAATTCTTGACAACCTGGAAGTACTGTACAGCTGTGTTTTGTTAGTTTGGGACTTTTTAGCAGTGTTCATTTACAACTAAGGTTTTGATCAGAGATGTCGTCGTAGCATTGCTCTCGTGCAGTGGAATCACCATCTGAGCGGTGTTGAGGTCAGGCGAGATAGGCAAGTCGATTGATGAGGTTGTGAACCTTAGTCAACTGAGATGGCTTGGACATGTGAGGCACACGCCGAGTCACTGTTTACCTCGACGTGCCATGCTAGAGGAAGTTGGCTTAGGTTGGAAAAGGTTTCATGATGGTCAGATCAAGACGTGGCACCAGTAGATGAATTCCATAACTGTTGGTCTGAGCCGTGTTAGGAGATGTAGACTGCTGGGCTGAGGTCTCTGAGACAATAGGAATGAGTTGTTGAGGACTCATTGTGATATGGCTGAGAATTGATGACAGTAGCGCAGATGTATTCACTCCTTGACATCTTCTAAAGCTTGAATATTTGCACTAACCTTTATCTTCACACTGTTTATTCTCTCACTACTTTATCTTCTTCGATATCACTTTTTCTATCCACCTGTTCTTTGTGCACTACTGTTAAACTGTAGCAACTTGAACCGATGCACTTGTGTGCAAGGCTCTACTTTGATTTTGCTGGTCAATCAATCAGTATTCACAACTCCGTTTGAATTCAAGTCTAGGGTCGTCAGGTCTCTAGCTGAAGCACTTTGAAAAACAGGAGAGAAAAGGTTACGACCGTGAACTCATAGAAATATCATTATTATTAAGACTAAAAACTGAATTATTTCTCTCAAAAATAGCACAAAGAAGTGGAATATTTTCATTTTATTACTGTTATAACGTACAAAAGAAAGACAGAATTTGACTGCATAGATTTTAGTCAACTATTGTATATGTTATGAAAAAACTATTTATTGAGTTGTTTTGTAACCACTTTTACGAGCTTTCTTCCGACCTGTTAATTGTTGTTTTATGCTTGTTATGTTGAAAAGTATCAATCAAATGACTACGAACTGTCCCTCATTCCTGTTTCCTTACCAGCCTTATTGTATATTTATAAGCTGTTTTTTTGTGGACATACTATTCAGCAACATAAAGGTATTAACTGTCAGTGTAAGTGAACGATAATTAATAAGAGCGTAGGCGTTATCTCACCTTGTGTTTAGTTCATTTGGTGACTATTCATTAGCGTAGGAATCGACATTAAAGACCACAACTTCTAAAATAACCAATCAGGTTTCAGTATTTTGGTTGGGAAGTTACTTTCCCATAAAATAAAAAAAGCTAACTGGTTATCTCAGTGGTTGTTAGATGGGCCTTTGAAATTACTCGATTTTCGGCTATGTCCCCAAAGTGGAACTGTTGACGGTTGGTTATCAAACAACAGTACTAAAGAAGTACTTCATAGTTATCAGTACCTATCGTGGGTTACTCTAACGACCACCCTTACAACTACCAAAATAATCGATTAAGTTTATTTCTCTTCGAAAGGTAGTTTTTGCATGAAATCAAGAACCTAAATGGTCATTTAGTTATTGTCAGGATGACCTTTAAGTCCCCTCATTAGTCATGTGATGATCGAAATCATGACAACACCAAATTGCAGAACTTTCTTTTCTCAAATCTCCTACCATGAAATCTTACCATCCTAGAGAACCTATTCATCACGGCTTTAACGTATCACTTATATAGAAAACAAGTTATGAGTGCAGGTGGTTGTCTACTCAATGCTTAATGTTAGAATTGTCTAATCTTGCCGTCCTTGAGCGATTATCGAAGGACGTTGAAATGACCAGTCAAGTTGCTAGTTGACAGTGTAGTCATTCTGCTAAGCTTTGAATTACTTAAAACATTCCTGCAGAGTGCGAGGAGAATGAGGGGTGGAAACAACTGAAATGTAGACTGACAAAATTCTAAAAAATGGCTGCAAGTAATGGTCGGAAATGAAGATTGAAAAGACGGAAAGGCAACAGCAATGTTTAGCAGTAAACACTTGTTTAGACTTGTTAAAGAAACTGGAGTAAGAAAGTCAGTGGCTAGTGAGACTATAGACAAGAAGGATGGCTCTGTGATTTCATGGGAACCGTTTTGAACGTTAAGCGGGAAACGTCGAGGAACTGTTTAGCTGGCCTCCACCAACTATTCTGTTGACCGCCATCTAGTCAGATCCTGAATGCAACATAGAGGCATGACATCTGGTACATACAGAAGTCGAGAAAGCTGCAGGTAACCCGAATAGGGGAAGAGACTAAGGGTCACACAGACTAGTTCTAGAGGTATTTAAGAACAGTGATAGGTAATTATTTGTCAAGTAGACTGAACTCTTAACTAATACGTGGCAGTCAGATTTGATCCCATCTGACTGGTCTTAGTCACTGAGTGTCTCAGTCCTCAGGGGAGGCCAGAAGTCCTCTTTTCATACCCAAAAAGAAGTCAGCTTTTCGAACTTATTGTCTAAGTTCCTGCGTTACGTGATCACTCAAAATCTGAGTGTAGCTCAGGAACAGCTAACCCGAGAAAAACAAGCAGGCTTTAGACTTGATCGTGGGTGTTTTGACCACATATTCATGCTCCACCAGGCTCTGGAACACAGCGACACTTGATGACGCCGACACTGACTGTACTTCAGGATGTGAATCGACATTCAATTTCGTCGATCGAGAGGTTTGTCAACATCTCTCACTGATTGGAGTGCTGAATATGTGCATCACTCTGTTGAAGGCTCTGTACTGTCACACGAGAGGGTGTTAGAGCCAATGGTGAGATTTTTATGTTGAGTGGAGTCCGTTAAGGATATTTCCACTCTCCGTTCCGTTCCAACTTTATCATCAAAGCATTTCTGGAGGTCTTTCTTTCGTCGTCTGACTTTATAGGTTGATCTTATCACACGAGAATCCTTGGTTGATCTAGAGTACGCGGATGATATGATATGCTTGTCTTAGGTGAAGACTCTGACAAGACGTGGAGTATTCTGGACACGTAAAGTGTTAACTTGAGAATGTATGGGATGCGTTTCTCGCCATACAAATGCAAATTACTACTGCACCACAAGTCTTCAGCTGTGTCTTTTCTGACAGTAGGAAGTGAAGTGGTTGAGTGCGTTGATCACCCCTGTTACCGTGATGGGTTAATGACCGACGAAATCTGTGCATGGATGGGAGGGGTTCAATTGAGTTTCGCCAACTTACACCATACATGGTGAGACTGTGATATCCGATTGTCTATGAAGGGTTGAGTGTGTTGTGCTACACTTCGTTTGTTCTACTGTGTGGCTGTTAAATGTGTCTGTCAAAGGTGGAGGGTATGAGAAGTTTGCTTTGTAACATAGTCCGTATGTTGTGGTTTCGCCGCGTTAGTGATACAACACAAGTCAGGTGTAGAGATGTAGGGAGGAGACGAAAGTCAGTTGATGTGTTTGTGGACGTTCACCGACTCTGGTAGTTGTGATATGTGTTACACAAGCCTAGTCACTCTCTGATTCGTCTCTCATTGTTACCTGAAGTAGGTTGAGGATGGGAGGATGGGAGAAGGTTAGAGGTGATCAGACTAAAACATGCCATCAGTCGTTAAAGTCATTTACTGATGATCTGAGGTGTGTGGAGAAATGTAGACTTTCCGATTGGAGTCCGTGTTACAAAAGAAATCAGTTGTTAGAGACTTTGGATGATATGGATGGGAATGAATTTTAGTGGAACAGATGGTTTCACCACACATCATCGTTATCTGAATTGTGAATTTGAATTCAGCATCTTCTTATTCTTCTTCCTTCTCTTTTACTGCTTTCGACGTATTCTTGTCAGTTTCTTTATCTTTCACCTTAGTGATTTGTTGCCTGATGTGCTGCTGATTATGTGTGTGTGACAGTATGGACCGTTATGCAGTGATGCCACGTCCAATATTGATGCCTATGATGCAGTTGAGTTCGCTGGAGTGTTTTATCTTCATGTTGCCGTACCGTCCCACTTAGTTAGATCGCTAATTTTCTCTTTCTGCAGTGTATCATTTCATACGATGTGACTACAAATGATCTACTGTCAAAAATCGGTAGTGAAACGACGAATAATGCCTTTTTAACTAGTGGCGTGAATTGTCTTGAAATCTGTGTATTTAAATTCAATATTCAATGTCGTGAATTGAATGTTTTTCTGAAGTTTGGAAACCTCCTGTGTAGTTCTACCGACGTTCATACTAATAATTTAAGGGGACACGGTATCATGTGAAGGCTAATTTTCGTTTATAGTACAGTTGAGGTGGTTCAATGTTGAATGCAAATCTCTGTGGGTAAGAAACCAGTTGAAAACATAAATTAGTTCATGAACACCGTTTTAAAACACTATTTACTGAAAATTTCCTTTCATTTGCTCGATAAAAAGTGGAAGGAAGCTACCGTTTTCTTATTCGTACGTTCAGGGTCAGTCGCTATATGCTCAATATTGACCGGATGCTATGCTTTTATCTGTTTGACTGTTTTCCACAGTTGTAGCAGGTTAGTTTAAAATTATTAATAAGGATGTAAATAAGCAGGTAGTTATAGGATAAATTGAATTAATATATTTGAATATGGCTGCCTAAATATACGGAAAACTCCAACTCAAGTAAAGGGAATGACATAACCTTATTGCTGAACCTGCCCCAGGTATATGGAATCATTAGTTTGTGAATGATTTACAAGGTGAATGGCTTATATTGACATTTCTCACTGCTGAGTAGTTTTACAGCTGTCCATTTGTGGTGTGATCTCTAACACAAACTATCTTGGACTGTCGAAACATACTTTTGCTGAACAACTTCAGTAGTTGGAAACCACTCAGGCTGATATATGCATTTCACCAGTCAGATCATAATGATGTAAACATCTGGTGACCATTCTGCTCGTTTGGGAGCTAGATCATTAATAACGAATCACAGGTCACTCTGATTTGTATCTAATTACTGTAGTTGATCAATGTATTTTGCTCCACATATACTTGTTGAAGAATTTCAAGCTCGATAAAATTTCGGTCATGAAATGGATCTATATCTATAGAAGTACTTTTTAGCTAGCAATACCACAAAACTGAATTCTACTTATACTGTTCTAACTTTGTACTGGCACAATTTCCATTCATCTGCCGGTCATTTGACAACACGTATATGTATTTTAGTGATTCAGACACACTACTCATAAAATAGTCAGTAGGTTATTACTTTCAGTGAACTTTTCATCCATTATCTCGAGTATTTTTACTGATTTTGGAGAATAATTGGATGCAAGATAGAGTGGTGGTTTTGTCTTTGTCGTATAAACCCTACATGAGAAACTATTTGATTCAGGTGTGTGCCACCTTTCAATTGCAAAATGTCAGCAATCGCTTTACACAAATATTGTTAAAATAGTCGAGTTACTACATATTTGCTTTCTTTAAAAAAAACTTTCTCCAGAGAAGCAGCTCACTTAGCTGAAGCATGGAATGATGAAGTTGCCTTCGGTGGGATTGCATCCCAATGGTCTGAGGAGTTTGAAGCGGAATTGGCGCGCATGGAAGCGGAGCTGGATGGTGTCAGTCTTCAAACACCACTAGAAGTTAGTAACATGTTATGCTTATGCGTTTATTTCGGTTTAATCAATTTCATAACGATGGGTACTATTCTGGTGAATGTTACAGTTCTGATGGATCGCATGTCCTGGTGTTAAAGTGATTTTCCTGTGTGATTACTGCGACTTTCTAATGGGTACGAAAGTGCAATTGTCATAGGTTATTTGCAGATTGAATTTAGGGGTTTGTGGAGATTTATAGATTTTTTAAGTTGGTATTCATGATGGACTGATATGAGTTGGATGAATAATGGAAACCTGGGGGCACTGGACAGCTGTTTTGCCCTACTTGTATGGGACTCTACAACTGTGCGCACCCACAACCCCGCCCTGGATCGGACCCGCGACCTTCAGGTTCCGTGGCCAGCACGTTATCTTTGAGCCACTAGGTCGGAATCCTCGTATCCATATTTCCTACTTCTGTCAGATCACAACATAGCTCGACCGCCACCCAATGTCATCGTTGAGTATTTGTCCTCACGTCCACTAGGTTTGCCCCGCTGGTCACAACTTCTCATTGGAACTTCAGGAATCAACTCTTGAAGTTAGTCACCAATGAGCACTAGTTCAATTGAATTTGAGGGTTTGTGGGGATTTAGTAGTTTTTCAAGTTGGTATTCATCATGGGCTGAAAATATGGACCATTGGATTCCGACCCACTGGCTCAGTGGCAACGTACTGGCCGCGGGACCTGATGGTCACGGGTTCGTCCCGGTAGGGCGGGTTCGTAGGTGCCCACCGCTGAAGAGTCACATACTAGGACGAAACAGCTGTTCAGTGCTCTCAGGTTTCGAATGTTCCTACAATTGACGTCAGTCCATGACGAATATTTTCAGATTGTCTGACGTTTTCACTCTATTACTGTAGATATCTTGGTATTGTATCTACGGAGCAAAATTTCTTATTGTCACTTTGTATACTGATATTATTGATTATCGAATATTTTAATACATTATTTGCTCTTCTATGAGTTCATATGTGTACATACCCTAAAGGTTTATTTGATTAGCTTGTGTCGACCAGTCGGATTCGTCTAATGATTTGAACATATCTTATGAGTAGTAATACTTATTACCATTTAAAAGTCGTAATACTTCATTGTTAAATACTTATTGCTGCCTAAATTAGAAAGCTGCTTTTCAGTGGTTAATAGTAGGATTTCAACAAATCATACCTACTGACAAACAGATGTATCAACGCAGAATCTGACACAGACTTGCATTATTACAAGTTATCACAATTCATGGTAGCATGTAGGGAAAACCTGGATGTAAGAAGTTATATTAAGGTGGAAAAATTTGTGTGAGAGAAGAAGAAATAAGTTGGTGAATGTTAGTGAAAATATCCAAGACTTTAGAGGTGTTAAAGAATGTATGCGTCTGCGGGAATAAGGCAGATTTTGATCCCACCGCAGAGAATCTCTACTCATTGATTCCTGTCGTCTTAGGGATCCAAGCTGGGCAGGAAAACGTGGCTCAAACTATCTATTAGAGACTTGTGTCACACCTTGTTCTCACCACTGTTAGCCTTCTTCCAATTTGAGCCTAATTCACTTAGCATTACATGTTGAGGTAGTTAGTGGCTTGGCATGCAGAATGCATTTCTGAGTTAGCTCAGTCGATGGAGGTTTGTAATCTCGTCGACTGACTTGTCTATCTTGCGTAGCACTTTCCGCCTAACACTGCCATCACTCATACCTCTAATTCCTTTTAAATGATAAACAGATAGACAGAAAAAGTCAACGTAAGACACTGCATAGAATCACATCACTTCAAGTTGTCACACTTCGCAGCAGAATGCAAAGAACAAAGGAATAGAAAAAGATTAACATCAAAGCAAACGAAGGTATATGGGAGGAGTAGGAACTTGGTTTCACAGTGTTCTGCCCAACGTTCTAGCCGTGTATCCTAAAGACTATTAGCTTCCCGTCATTTTCGGTGATGTTTCCCGCAGCCATCGTCATCTTCTTGCCAGTGTCTTTTATACCCTAAATAGTTGCCAGGTGTTACCTAATACTTATGCCTTTTCCATCCCTACTTCGCCACCTACCACCACTGGCGATCATTGCGAAAGCTCTTGGTCAATTTACGTTCAGTAAGACGTAAGAAGCCTAATATGAATATCAGGAGGTGAAGGCAAAGGAGGATACAGAGTTGGGAAGGATATGCTATGTTTTATTGGGTCTGGTGTACTACTGGCGGAGTGCATGAGGTTGACACTTGTCGACTGCCCACACCATGGAAGGCTATTTGTTCTTATGGCACCTGAAAAAGGAAAAGATTTGTGTGGCCGCAAAGCTCATGGTATATCTGCTCGAGGCCGGTGTGGAATTTTAGCTTGTTAGTATGAACTCCAATTGTAAACCCATATCTCCAGTTCCGGTATATCACGGGGTAGAGACGATTGGACTACTCTTAAGGCCGATGTTTTCTAATCCGCCTTCCCATGGGGAAGACAGCACCAGCATGCGACTACTGACTATCCACAGGAAACACCTTGACATTGTCACCCGCGTAGCAGTTTGCTCTGTAACAGCGACAGCTTTCTGTCTGGCCATTACCCAACTGATGTTTCTGATGTGATAGAAACTCGAAGGAACAAGCGTTTCCAGCAGCGTAGCTTATTCACCCAGTATGATGTGCACTCAAGCTCGAACACTACGTCAAGGTATCAGTTATCGGTCGAATTCACAATTTACAGGGTGAATCAAAATCCATCACATTTGGGTTACAGTTTATTTTAATTGTTATTGAGTTGTCTTAATTGTATCCATCTGATTTGACGATAATGCCCAGCAAACATAGACAATTAGCAATGGATTTTTGTTTGTTTTATTCCGCATGCTTTCTAGTTTTTGTAAACTTTTATTTTGTAATAATATCTAAAAGTTAACGACTCAGAAACTCCTAAATATTCGTCACTGCTTTTGATTGCATTGAATATTTAATAACATGTCGAACCACTTATCCGCACATTCTCTAAATTGGATGTATACTTAGTCATGATACACTTAACCGAATGCAAGTATTCGTTTTAGTTCGCCATTGCATGTCATGAAATCATAACCACTTTGATGTTTTAAATTTTTCCTGGATCTAGCATAAAATACATGGGATAAATGAATACAGCTAGGATAGAGTGGGTAAGATGTGTTCACGCCACAGAAGCTAGTATTTCAAGTTGGTTTCACTTACCGAATGGTTATTTCTATTATGCTACAAAGTAGTCGCTGAGCATTAAAACTGATTTCATATCATGTTGTCGTTGGTTAACTATGAAAACATTTACGAAGATAACAGGGATTGTACACAGTCATGGGATTTCCTTACCACGAAGAAACCAATTTTTCTTAAGCGTAGAACAGAACTGCTCACATTGAAGCATTTCAAATACTATATTTTACAATCATGATAGTTCATAATGGAGTCAGATGTGAAAGATTAGTGTGTATACTCTAGCTATTGACATGTTGCACTCACACAACTACCTGAGTACACACATATCTATTGTATCAGATACGATGGATGAAGATATCAAATTACTGACCAAAAGTAGATATACGTTGAAGTTTATGAACCGTTGTAGAAGTCAAGTAGCATCGAAGTCAACTCTATACACAGTTCCCAAGAAAAGCGTCCATATGACTCTACCACACAGAAAGCAGTTGAGTAGTATCATTTTGAGACGTTCGCCGACATCAGCCATTTAGAAAACATATTGCGCAGCTAACCTTGTGATTGTGGAAAAAACAAAACACATGCTTCACTAAAAACCTAAGCACTACATCAGTGGTTACGTCACACCCCACTGTGTTTGCCAATTTACATATGTGTGTGGTTACACATACATAGGGAGGAGTAATCGAGCCATAGAGTCGAGGGTGGGAAAACATGTACCTAAATGGCTTCAAAAACAAATGGAGTGTGAAACCGTGATAAACACTGGTGGGAGACAACCCTGTTCATCTATAGCTAGATATATCACAGAAACAGGACACAAGATTAATGTTCAGACAGCTTCCAAAGTTTTATATGGAAACAGTCAAGGACATATACGGAGATTTGCCGAAGCCATATTCTGGTTAACTAGTTCACTGGTTACTAGCTGGTCCTAACCCTGGATAAAGAGGAAAGGTTGGGCATACAGCTAGCAACCCTACCCCGGAAAACCAATCCAATCGCTAAAGAATGGTCTTGGTTGTATTGTGTTCTCTGAGCTGAGTTGTTTAATCGATTAAACTGTAAAACGGTGATAATTAAGCTGAGACATGTAAAATAAGTCAATGATTAAGGAATGAATTGATATTAAAAAGTGAAATCGAAACTCTTAGAATATTACTATCTAATAACGGATACCGTAAGAGATTTATTGATAAGAATCTGAAGAAACGAACCACTCCCCATAGCGTTACAGTCCCTAAGAAAATTTTAACCATGAATCTAGAATTCAAAGGAGACACCACAGTCGAAGTGCTGAAAAATCATCTGTCAAGATGTTGCAATAGTAGCTTCTATGTTGCTAGGTTGAGATTGATATTCTCCAGCCGCCGTCTGATTCATCAATGTGTGAAGGATGAGCTTCCACTTATGTCTACTTCTATGTGTATCCACAAGTTCACATGCTCCTGTGGAGCTGACTATATTGGACGTTGTAAGCGGGCCCTCCGAAAACTTGTTGCTGAACACTACATGGTTTGGCTTACCCGAGGCGAGCTAAGGAAAACGACATCATCCATATGTGAACACCTTGTTGAATTGGGACACTCAGCACTTCGAGATTCATCCTTTAAAATAATTTACAAAGTTAAATTGAACTACTCCAAAGGTTTACGTTTCCACCACTTATGCATAGAGCTGAAGCATTAGCTATACATGAACAAAAAACCGAAACTTTGCATTGAAAAGCGTTTTTTGAAACCACTTTCTCTACCTTGGCTTTAACAATTCAGTCTTGGCTATTTTGTTAATTTCAGTTCACTTTGGTATACTTCTCTTCTATTATCATCATTATCAATCCACTGACAACACTGGAACCATATTTCACTCTTTAATATCAATTCATTCCTTAATCATTGACCTATTGTACACGTTTCAGCTTAATTATCATCGTTTTACAATTCTTTGACCGCACTTGTCGCTTATCTCACCACTTGTTATCACTTCGCTCCTCCTTATTCAGTGACCCATTTTCTATCTCTTCCACTTGAACAAATACCACCACCCCTCCAACGATTGTATATTTTGCATATTGACTGAGCAATGTTTTAGTGCAATTATCTGTCACTTTACTGAGTATAAATACGACTGTATAGCTTGATAATGAAGTCGTTGAAAAGAAATATTTCTTCTTCGCTGATACATATCTTGTTCTTGTCAATGAATAAATGGGTTTATTTTGTCACTCGTTTTTACCCCATATCAATTCATTTTTAGAAATCTTTCAAAAACCAACGAACTGATGATGCTGAAGATGAGAATAGGATAGATCCTAGATATGACGATAATGCAAACAATCAAGAGGAAGATGAAATCGATGAATTATATTGTGTAGCATGTGATAAATTTTTCGCTTCAATAAAAGCTAAGTTAAATCATCAGTCATCAAAAAAGCATAGAAAACAATTGGAGTTATTACGGAAAGTTATTAATGAAGACGATAGTGTTTTACAAGAACATTTAAGCTCAATATTACAAGTTGAACAATCTCGTCTTAATGAATGTGAAGATATGGAAGATTCATCTAACATTTCAACAAGTCAACCAACGGTTAAATTAACGAAACGAGCTAAAAAAGCTGAACGCAAAAGAAAGAAAGAAGCAGGGATGCAAGATTCCTCTATAGTTGTCGTCCAATCAATTTCTACTGTGGATTTAGATACAGAAGTGATTAACAATGATTATGCTGTAAATAATATCAACGACAATGAATCAGGTAGCTGGATTGTGTATACTTTTTATTCTTTCTATGTTATTATTTATGTACGCGTATGTATGAGATTCATATGTTTTTCAGACCATAAACTGTGACAAAACAGTGAAAAGACTGAATTGGCCGGTTTAGTTGACTGTGCAAGTGTGTGGTAATTCATTGGCTATCTCTTTCGAGTAGCTGGTGTAAGCATAGCATTGAGTTGTAGTACAGAAAGCGTACTTCTCGAACGTGATTATTAAAAGTGAAAGATACACTGAATACCTTTACCCATAGAGCATTTGTCACTCTCATATGTGTGACGTTAAAACTAAGCGAAAAGTTCCTAGGTGAGTGAGTGGTTAAATTAGCTGTATGTTGTCGCAACTGTTGTTTGTCAAAAATTGTGGCGAATCGAATTGAAACGCACTCAGCAACCTTGTGCATATTCTCGCAGTAATCAATAAGCCACGTTTATTGTGTGCGTGACGGCTAGGGATATTATCTGGCTGTTCAGACCTCGGTAGGTAGAGTAGGGGGTCGAACCCGTCACCCATTGGTTGAAGGTCATTTCCCTAAACCGTGAGCCACAGCTCTACAAAAGTAATGGGAGCAACAAGAAATGTTAGTCCATGAGCTATAGTTGTAGTCATAAGTTGCAATGAATGGTGAAGACTAATCAAGATTTGGCAAGAATTTGCTCAGCGTGACAAAATATATTTGGAAACTGAAGTGTGATCATTGAGAGCATAGAAACCAAAATGAATGTTAAATTACCTAAGAACTGAATGGTGTGCAAAGAATGAGGCGTTTTTCCAAAAATAAATGAATATTATGGATGCGGAAGAGGCAGTACAATTTTATTTTGCTTGTAAAGCTTAAGTTTCTCCTTATGCATGCTAAAAGGTTCAGCAACACCAAAGATACGAAGACATATAGCTTTTCAAAAGTTTCTTTCCACTTCATAAATAACCTTGAATGAGGAGGTTCTTGAGGCAGAGTGATTGGTGTTTGCGACATATTCAGTCATAGCAATTCTTATGCCTCCGTTATTGTCGCTTTGTTATCACGTGCTACTGAATATTTCTGGATAAAAGTTCATTTGAATGAATACTTGTGTTTTTCGTACACTCGGAAAGTGTCAGTTATTTATTACAAGGGCCTTCTGCCCAAAGCAACCTGCTGTTAATAGACTTTCTGTGGATCTTATGGCGATTTCAACTTTCTTAGCATATCTCACATCGTTAAATTTGAATTGAAGGTTAAATATTCGTACAGGCAACAATTCTCTATGGCATAGTGTGAAGTATTCCAATAAACAAGTTATTTTCTCGCTTAGAAACAAACTTTGTAGGTTAAAAGATCCTATCGATGCAATTGAGCAAAATAATCTAGTTTGCCAGATCCCTTGCAATGATTGCAAGGTCAAGTACAGCGGTCAAAGCAGTCAACCAGGGTCGAGCACAAAAACTTGGCTAAATCAAGATTAGTAGATCCTAATAAGATGATATATCTAGAGAAAAGCTCGGCTATAGCTCTGCATGCGATGACAAACAGTCACACAGTAGGGTGGGATAGGGCGAAAAGTAACTTAATTGGGTGGAGTGAGGGAGAGATTGATAACCGAATCTTTGTTTATCAAATCAACACCAAACACATGCAGCAACAGAAATGATGCTGCACCTGCCCTAGATATATAGAAAACTCTACAACCCTTGTCATTACAGAGAAGGAGAGAAACTTAGGAATATATAAAGTCTGTCTCAAAGTTGTAGAGTTACCTGATATGAATATGGACAATAAATTATGTTCGAAATGTTATCCAGTGAATGCTACTGTTTCACTGTGTGATATTTCTAATAAACAGACTAAAATGGAATGACAATCGATCATAGTGACCAAGTTTTACTCTTATATTAATGTTATTTCTATCTGCATAGGAACAGGGAGTTAGAATCAACCGATATCTATACCTTTATGAGATACGTTCATTTCTCTTATACAGTCATTAAATTCAAAAGTTCCCTATAGAAAGTGGATAAAAAGTTCATCTTCTTTAAAGTTAATTAGTCTGTCAAGTTGTGAGTAGATGGATGAATGAATGTACATCGATTGAAATAGCTCTGCATATCTTATAGGTGGTAATGTTCTTCATCATTGATGATTGTTCATAGATCAAGGTATACTGAACAACTTTTCTGATTGGATTATAGTTATCTTCTTGTACCAACCTACGTCGTAATTGTATGTATAATCTTTCAAAGGAGATAAAAATCATCTTGACATTTTCAATGCTAGGACTTTGTCTAAGCCATTATATTTGACGTTCAACTATCCAAATTATAGCAAACGTCTAGTTTTATAATCATTTATCTACTGAACTTTAATGATGACATGTTGACATTTTCAAAAGGAAGCAACACAACAACAATGTTTCATCACAACCAAATATCACTCATATTGTCGCGTTCATTGCACACATCTTGTTTAGTCTATATGTTCTATTTTTTTTTGGGGGGGGGAAGCAGTGGAATGGAAGTAGTCAACTCTTCTGAAGCACTTGTTTTCATTGAAGCACTCTATATTCCTGGAACGAAAGGGGATGTCATTACAAGCATTTTGCTATTTTTAAGCTATTATCATTATTATTATTACCGTCATTACTATTACTGTAATTACTTATTAGACACACTGCCTCGTCTTGTCAATTAACTTTTCTTTTGAAGGAAAACGTTATCTTTGATAACATGCATTTTACACCTGCTAAAGATGCACGGTCATGCTTCAAGACTGTTATATACTTGCGCCTGCTTTTTTCACTCGGTTCTAGAACAGCTGGATATATTTACTGAGTTGTTTGCCTCTATCCTATTTTGAGGAAAATATGTTGATGGATTGCATACAGTAATAAATAAAGCCTATTGGGCAAGTTGTTTTACTGTACACTATTTCTCTTTTCCTAGGTTTCTCTCTGTAGGTGGTAAAGAGGAGCAAACTGTTATGCAGTACATTATATCTTATTGAAGTTTTCTTGGTTGTGTTGTGTTCTCTGAGCTGGGTTGTTTAATCATGGCGCTTTGATTGTCTTTCTAGATAACATCATCACCACTAACTTCATTATGAAGTGAGCTGTCAGTATCTCTCCCTGAGTGATTCAGTAGCCTGCCCTGACGAACTGGCTTGTAACTTTTGTGTCATTGACTGCATAAATTTTGTTGTTGACTGTTACTCTGCTTGACCTCTGACCTTTGTATCGTTCATCCTTTTTCTCATCAATTGATAGATTGAGTCTGTGTTTATACAACCATTGACTGCTGACCGAAATGACAAGCTTCTAGAAATTCCCTGACATTCTCTGTGTTTCCTCTGTCCAAAATTTCTACATTGTTAAGACTGAATTCATGTCCATAATTATCCATATACATTGAAATGAGTGACGAAATGTCATAACGTTTAGTGGCCAATTGGTGTTCATGTAGACGAAGGCGAAGAGGGCGACCACTTTGTCCAATGTAGTGTTGACTACAGTTATTTCAGTTGATTTTCAAATGATATTTGGTTTATGTTCTTTATTGTATTCTTTGGTCTGTATAATAGGGTTTGGAGGGAATTTGTTGATTTATGAGCCACATCAATTTCAAGTGGTCTCAGTAATCTTGTGGTGATTTCTGATATATCCTTTAAGTATGATAGGATGATGCGTTTGTTGGTTTCTGTCGATGACTTTGTAGTTGATGATGTACAGGATAGGTATCTGATAAAGTTCCGAGGTTAACCGTTCTTCTTTAAGATAGACATCAAGTAATTTTCTTGGTTGCTCTGTGAAGCTGTTGTACTGCAGTATGTTCTTCCTCTTTTGACTAGAGTTTGCACACGATTAGTTTGTTGCCCTCAGAAGTGGACTATGAAAGCGGAAGTATTTGTTATGTGACCAGGGTTTATGAAGTGTGGAAATCGATTTTACTGACGTTGATACATCTGCTTTCGAAAATTCCTGGTTATACCTCGCTCTTTCTTTCTCTCTGTAAATATATATATATATATATATATATATATATATATATATATATGGCCAGGAAGAATAAGCAACAAGGAACTCTGGCCTGGCAACGAACCAACCATCACGCACCAGGCCCGGCATTGGAGTGGAACCCAGATGGGAAACGACGAGTTGGGCGACCGATGTGAGGGTGACGTGGAGGAGATGGTGTGAGGAAGAAATGAAAGCTTGTGGGCTGTCGTGGAGCCAGGTTGAAAAGATTGCAGAAAAGAGAGTGGAATGCGTAGGCGAGTTCTGAACTTGTATCCAGTTAACTGCGCCGTAGGCTAATTGGTCAAAGTAGGTACTCCAACTCACGAGTTGACACTGTTGACTCATTATGATAGAACGGTGACCATCTGTAAAAAAAACCCAATCGAGTGAATACTGAGAGAATAGACTACTGATCAACTGACTTAATGTATATATTAAATATTTTTTAAACGTTGAGGAAAATGATTAATCACTTGTTTGTAAAAGATTTGATTGAATTGGTTGTTTGTGCAAATCGTATGGCTGATTTCAAAGTGACTTTCATCATGAATTGAAGTAAATCGAAAATCGTTGAAAACCTATGAATACTCAACAGCTTGTGATTTACCAACACTGCATACCCAGGAGAGATTGAGTGCAGAGTTGTCACCTCCAAAACCAGGACAAAATAGCTATCCTTAATTTTCTTATGTCTTCAGTTGTTCTCCAACATATATCAGTCCGTTATGAAAGCCACTTTAATTCAAAAGATCCATACTGAAGTGACAAAAAATTATGATCCATGTATTCAATATCAGATGATCAACCTAAAATAGAAGGGATCGGTTAATAAGTTCTGATCAATGGATCCAAAGTTACTTTCCTATCCTGTGTAATATTTTTATTACTTAACAAATTTCTATGTAACTATTTCTACACATTGACAATTCTCATACTGACGGCATCAATTAATAAAGTCTGCAGCTGTTGGTTTGAATCATATGGAGAGAGGTAAACTGCTTAGTTGTGATCCCCGGGATGAAGGAAGTCAATAGTTGAGGACTCCTAGTGACATGTCTGGAAATAGGTCACAATGGCTCAGATGTATTCACTCATTGACATCTTCTGAAGCTTGAATATTTGCACTAACCTTTATCTTCGGATTGTGTATTCTGTCATCCAACTTTGTCTCTTTTTCCATCCACCTGGTGTTTGTATACTACTGTGAAGTGAAGCAAATTGAGCTGATGCACCTGTGTATCAGGTTCCACGTTGATTTTATCAGTCAGTCAGTCAGTCATTATCATACAGACATTTAAGCTAGTAGACAGATTGAGCGAAGAAATATATATTTTTTAATTCAGTCTTCATCATCGGCTTTACATGTGTTTTGCATCTAATAGTATCATATTACCACTCAATGTAGTGGTGGGTTAATTAAACTAAGTGATAATAAATTTGAAGCCTAACAGTGGCTCGATGGTAACGTGCTGGTCGGGGTGGGGAACCTGAAGGCCTTTGATTCGATCCCTTGCTGGGTTATGGGTGCACACTCCTGAGGAGTCCCATACTGGGATAAAACAACTGTCCATTGCTTCAGAGTTTCAAATGTTCCTTCAAATGATGTTAATCAGTGATGAACACCAACCTGAAATCAGTCGATAAATCCCCCTAGTATTTATTTGTGTTTTCTGGTTGTTGTTCTTCTCCATATTTTTAACATATTGAACCTAGCGTATTATTACTTTGGATTCCTTGTCTATGTATTCATTACAATTCTTTTATGCATCTAGGTACTACTACTACCACTACTACCAATACTGTCACCAACATCACCCAGTTAATATCTGACACTTCAACAAATCATCATAGTAACAAGTCTAGTGGAGAAGATTCACCTCGTGTAAATATCAGTCTGTCATTAAATGAGACTGTAAAAATGAAGACAAATTCTTCGTCAAATACTCATAAAATAATCTGTGATACATGTTCTGTAGAGTTTAATTCAAGAAATTCCCTATTCAATCATCTTAAAGAGTCTGGACACTCACGATTAAAACCAAAGGTGCAAGCATCTGTAAATGCTGTACAACAATGTTGTAATGAAAGTATAAAACAGAGTAAAGTGAAGTCAAAACATAAACGTTAATTGTACACCTTTTTTTGTTTGTTTGTCAAAATCAATTGAAGTTTGTACATATATATAACTTTCTTGTTTAAAAAATATATATACTATAAGGGTAAGTTATGTAGGGTCACTTTGAACTGTTCAAAAATACCACCTTGCAGATTGAAATACTGTATAGTTATATCATCACAGTGTATGTCTGAAGAGAATAACGTGAATGAAACTGATAGTTTATTGGTATTGGCACTGTACACAGTCACGTGTTCACAACCAGTACACTTCGTTAATATAGGAGTAAAAGTTGAGCACTATGGAAGAATGTAATTCCATTTTTTAGTTGACTTATTAGATGTATCATATGGTGGAACAGTATTGTTTACTGGGTTATGTTTCGGACACTACTTATTGTCCATAATTATATCAAGATAATTACACAACTTCAATATCAGATGATCAACCTGAAATAGAAGGAATGGCTTAGTAAGCAACCGATAAGTTCTGATCGTCAACTTACGCCACATGTAGCGCCGCCGTGATATCCGATTGTCTACTAAGGGTCGCGTATACTGCACAGCAGTCTGATCTGTTCTACTGTATGACTGTGAAACATGGCCATTGAAGGTGAAAGACATGAGAAGGCTTCAAGTGTTTGACCACGTTGCCTTCGTAGTATAAGCCGTATTCCGTGGTGTCACCACCTGAGTAACGCAGAAGTCAGGAGTAGAGATAAATCAGTTGACGAGGTTATGAACCTTCATCGACTGAGATAGTTTGGACACGTGTTAGGTATGTCTAGTTGCCGATTGCCTCATCACACAATGTTGGCCGAGGTAGTTTCACGCTGGAAAAAGCCTTGAAGTGGCCAGACTAAAACATGACATCAATGTATGAAGTCTTTGACCGCTGGTTTGAGCCATGTAGGGTGATGCAGACTGGCCGTTTGGGGTCCATGGGACATGTGAAACCAGTGGTTGGAGACAATGGGTAATGTTGCTCTGAGCCGATTTAAGCGGTGCAGATATATACATACATTATCCTCATCTAAACGATGCTATACCTAATCTCACCATTTTCTCATTTTTCGTTTCTCTTTTCGTACTTTTGGCTGCATTCTCTCATCTTCGTCTTCCAGTTCACTGCCTTTTTACTTGAGGTGTGGCAACTTGGACCGTTACGCAGTAATGCCTGGTCCTAGGTTGATCTGCATGGATGGGCACAACTTTGAGATATCCTTTATATAGTCCCAGTTTTCCTTGCCTTCTTTGTGACATTGGTGGTAAGATTTTCCATATATCCGGAACAGATGCTCAGTGATCGCTGTTTCTGCATGTATTAGGTGTTGATTCGATAAACAAAGATTCAGTTATTATTCTCTCCCATTCTATTGTGTAGTTGTTTTTAATCACATGGATAGCTATAGTCGGGCTTTTTTCTGACCAAGATAGTCTGATTGACCCTGGTCGACACTTTAACCTGTTTATTTGACATTGCAGTCGTTGCAAGAGATTTGATAAAATAAGGTATTCTGTTTCATTGGATCAGTAGAATCTTTCAACCTACAAAGCTTATTTCCAATCGAGTTTGTAGGTTTAAATGCTACTCTAATCCCAACTAGTCTTATTGAGAATCCTACGTAAGCACCTCAGAAACACTACGTAGAATTCTCAATAAGGCTGGCTGGGATTAGAGCAGCGTTCAAACCTACAAACTCGCTTGGAAATAAGCTTGTAGGTTGAAAGATTCTATTGATCCAATGACGCGAAACAGCTTAGTTTACCAAATCCCTTGCGACATCAATATATAGGTCAGAGTGGTCAACCTGGGTCAATTAGGCCATCCCGAGCACAAAAGCCTAGGTGCGTCAAAATTGATAGATCCTAGTAAGATAAGGAACAGTGAATTTATTCACTATTTTCATACTGAAACACTGAATTTGTTGGCTTCATTATGTATTAGGAATGCCGTAGCAGTGTCCACTGTACGCTAACTCTGGAACTGAATAATAGAAGTGGACAGGAGCATCACATGCCACGTGAGATGAAGAATACTTACTTTTTTGGCTGTATGATTACTCGCTGAATAGAATATAAGAGATTATGTGACACAATAACTTGAGACGTTATCAAACATAGCTGCGAATTAAAGCTTTTTGGTGTTCCTGTTATCACAAATTAGTACGAGACTAGTGAATGGATTTTAGAGCCACTTCGTTTGCTCCCAGTTTTGTTTCTTTTAATCTGTACGATTTTATTCTCTTTTTAGCCTGGGTTATATTATTTTATGTGGTGCTTTGTTTGGTGCCTATGCCTTACTACTAATATCAATAATAATAATGAGGTGAGAAATTCTAAACTCCCGTCTGCATAACAAACAAGCGATTGATAAATCAAGATGAATGAAATTTGCAGGATAATATGATATCATCGTTTTACTTCACGATTACCCTTCAGCTACCTCATGCAGTTTAAAAGTACATAAGATGTTTCATAATTAGGAAATCAATAATCTCAAGTTGTATAACAGAACCATTGATGATCTATATAATATATAAGAGAATTTCTAATTGTTCAGAGGTGTAAGAAAGGAAAAATAATCATTAAATAAAGAGTTGCGTAGTAAAAATGGGACAGGATCAAATCGTAGTCACCAAAGTAGTGAGAGACTAATCACACTCTCCTTCCGTATTCAAAGGTCAGGTTGATGAAATCGTTTGATTGTAAACACTTTTGCAAAGCGTAGCATTCCTGACATTTTCTGTATGTTTATTTTTTAGAAACACTCAAGGTTTCAACCTGATGTTCTGTATCTACAAGGTATCTGACAATTTCACTAGTTTGAATTTACCTTCTTTCTTATCCTGTTAGCTGTAATCGTGGGTTAGTTAAAACACTTTACAACAAAACTAGGGAATTGTCTACTGTGAACAATTTAGAGGAAGAACCAACCTTTATTGCGAAGTGTCTCCCAGTGAATAGATATCCTGAGGGATTTAATATGATGTATGGAAAAGAACAGATCAAGAGAAATAAACACTCAACTATGGAAGGAAGAGTGTTTTTAAACACCTTACATTCAAGGAAGATACAGTTTCCAAGCGTGTAGACTCAAGAATCAAAGAATCAATGAGAAGGAGGTTTTCTGCAGCTAGACGTGTATCAGTATACAATACTATGTGCTCGTTAAAGCAGTCAAAATTGGACAATCTCCCTGCTCAGGTCACCTTCAAGTGTATTTACCAATTAACATGCACTTTCGGTAACAAGTACATTGAAAGGACTGAGAGGAAGGCGTCCATTCACCTGGCTGAGCATATCCCCAAGAATCTATACCTGAAAGAACGTAGAATTCTAACCAATGCAATTGCCAGACATCTCGTAGACGTAAGACATCAGGTTGAAACCTCGAGTACCTTTATAATAATAAACATATAGAAAATGTTTGGATTAGTGTGTTTTGCGGAAGTGATTGAAATAAAACTCTTTCAACCTGACCATATGCATACAGATGGAGAGTTTGGTTATTCGCTCACTCTTTTGGTGAATATGACTTGATCCTATACCATGACATAACCCTTTTTTGATTTGCTGATTATTATCATTTTGACTACCTGAGATAACCGTGGTTTGGCAGACTAATATTTATACTGATTGATGACCGAAGGTGAACTGAAAATTTCGACTGCAGCAGGATTCGAACCAGCCACCCCGGGTTTCTGGCCCGGTGAAATAAACTGATTCCTTGTTGCTTTATCCAAATTTATCAAGGAATCTGGATGCATAGCAAAACACGATTGGGGCGAAGAAAAAATTTTTTTCGACGAAATCATTCTCTTTAGGTGTAAATTCTTGAATATGTAGTGAAAAGGATAGAACACACTCTAGAGTAATTCCTGGTCGAAGGTCAATATAAATTGCACCAGAAAGGGAGGTTGCGTAATGAGGAAATTAACAAAATGGTTACATATGTCGGTTATTTACTATTTGTTCACCAATGTACAACTAGGAGAATGATTTTGTCGGGAAGAAAGGTTTTTCTGCTCTGAAAGCGTGTGTTTTCTCATTTTTAAGTAGGATTGTTTCGATATTTGAAGAATATAAATGAACGAGTCAATTAATGAATGTAGATACAAAGTACAAACAACACCTATCCAGGACTAATTCGAATATAAAAAGTACTTCAGGGACAGGTGTTAAAACGCTGGCTTGAATTTCAATTAGGATCTACCTTGTTTACTGAAATTCATCCATTAAATAAGGTTGAATGCATAGATTCACATCCATCAGCTGGTGGCTTCTATATCTCACATGTCGATGTTTTTACGTAAAAAAAGAACTGTGAATCACTTCGATTACTCCTTAAAACCAAATAATTATTGAAAGCAAAATAATTAAAGTAACTTTTTCAACTATTAATTTTGTTTCCTTTCGAAATCTTGTTGATGAAAAGTCACCTGAATGCATCAATGTTATGGCATAATTGAACAAAACAAATTAATTGAACAACCAATTATGTTCTTCAAATGTTCAATCAATTTAAAACGGGAAAAAAAACCATGCTTAAATCACAATAAAATGCACAAATAAACACAAAATCCCAATATTAAATAACAGAACGAAGTTACTTTTAATGAGAAGGAAATCATTACTATGACAATTATAAGGTTGTTAAGTGCACATGATATTTTTTGAATGTGAAGTTCTCATTCAAACTTGTCAATGATCAGTGATTTGGTTATGTACAAAAGACTCAGTAGAAGTCCTATGGAATTGTAGGAAGACACTAGGCAGATTACTTTGCACGTCCGCGTTATTTTATTCAGTATATAAATATAGTGGTTGGGAACTCAAACCATTTTATCATAAAACGCTTTTTTTTTATACAACTTATATGGTCTGTTAACATTTCATCTATTCTAGCAGATCTGTGTTTAAATATTGAATTCATGTGATACACGGTGATCTGTTTATCTAATAAAAAAAATGTACAATCGGATTCATCTTGGCGTGATATTTGAGAGAAAA